CTGGGGCTTGAGAAACAATGGCAGACATCAGACCATCTTGGTGCTTTCTCAGAATAGAAGGGAGGAGTTTTTGGATCTATTATGAGGGAAATTCATGGCTGTGAAGCCTCTCGCATGCTGTCAGCTGCCTTGCTAGTATTCTCCTCCCACATTGGCCTCTGTTGGCATTTTCCTCTCCTTTGTCCAGGAAGGCAAGGGGGCTGGATAAAACCCACAAGCCAAGCCACCTGGTACCCCAACAAATGTATGATCTCTAAATCTCAGTGTGGCCTTTGATCCTCATATTTGTCCTTGCTCAGCTTCCTCCCTCACCACACCCAACGCCTGTGAATCCTCAAGCCCTTCCTCTTTCCCTTGGAAGACCATGCCCTCAACCCCCCACCTTCTCCACAGCAGGTAAACTTGCCTCCGCTTCACAGAGTAAGTGAAAACCTCTGGGTGTGAGCTGCCCCAGCTTCTCCCACCCTTTCCTTCCACACTCACTCACGCCCCGACTCACCTTCAGCTGCCACCCCAAGACCTAGAGAAAGAGGTCTCTCCTCTGTTCCCAGTCAGCTCTCTTGCTCGTGCTGTCATGTCTTTCTGTTCCCACCCCCTCTCCAAAGGCCCTCCTCCATTGTTTGTCCTTGTCTCTTCTAGAGAGGCAACCTCTGCCCCTCTTGGCTCTTTTCCCTCATCACAGCTCCCATCCTAGCGCCCTCCTGATGCGTTCCCTCCAGCCGTTCCTCTACCGCGGCAGACTTCTCACCCAAACCTTCCCGAAGATTCATCTACACCTGCAACTTTTACCCTCTCACTCCTCAATTCCCTGTAGCATCTGCTCCCTATTCTAATGAAATATTTGCTGGGTATAATTTAGTGAAAGATGCAGATCCCAGACGGAAGCAGAACTGGCTTTGACTCCTGCCTCCTCCACTTACAAGGTGTGAGATCCCAAACATGCTGCTTAATTTCTTCATTTCTAATGTGGGGATAATAATAGTAACCAACTTCACAGAGTTCTTGCAATATGCAATGAGATACCATATTTAAAACACTGAGTAGTGTCTGCACATGCCATTGCCCAATAAAAATTATTACTAGCAGTAGCATTTGCATTAATGATTATTATCATTATTATCTGTCAGGCACCATGCTAGGTCTAGCTAGAGATCCTAACTAAAAGAAATCCTACCAAATTCATGCAGCCAAGAAGAACTAGTTTGCAATCTTCTTATACAGTGGGGCTTATCTCTTGGCTTAGAATCATCTTCTCCACCTTTGAACCAGGATCTGTTCCTAGGAATTTCCTTCCATAGTGATTCTGTATGACTGCAGTCAGTTTGGTTCACACACACACACACACACACACACACACACACAAACACACACACATAAACAGTAAATTTGTTTCATGTGAACCAATAGGAAAATATTTAATTTAACTGAACACAGGACCTTTAATCTCTGCTGCTTTTGCAGCAACAAAAGTATCTACACACCAATGTTCTGTGTGCAGTTGGAAGTCAATAATTACTGATGAGCAGACATATAATGACTTAGTCCTCCTCATGGTCAGTCACCACAAGAACAGAAAGCATATTTTTAGCATCATGTTTGACTCCTATCTGACAACCTGGAAACTGCAGTAACTTGAAGCTATGTAGTCAAGGAAAGGATTACTTTGTTGCTGGTACACCAGAAAAGAAACCTAACGGTCGTTTATTTCCTGTGATTACTCACTAAGAAGGTTAGCACAGAGAGCTCATTTCCTTCCTCCACCTTCTTGCTATTCTTAATTTTCTTTTTTTGTCACAGGCTGTGTGTGGCAATATTTGTTTTAATTAGGAATACAGTACAGGCGAAGGCAACTGTAACGGGTATGTTCAGTAAGGAACCAAATTGTACAGCGAGATCCCATCTCAGTGACAAAAACAGCTTCACTAAGGCATGTCATTTTGTCTAACAGTTTGCTTTTTGGAACAGGCTTAGAAATTCCCATGCCCTACCCCAGCACTAGTAGGTAAGTCTTGCTTTCAGGGGAGGTATTGGCATGGGGTTCAAGTGGGGGGCCCCTTCTCTTGGACTAGTGGATCTTTTCACTGCGGGGGATCTCAAGTCAGGATCCCGCACACTGACCTCATGCCTCTAGGATTCAACAGTGATTTACATCACACAAAAAATGGTTCCTGGTTCTTTCTCTCTTTGTTTAAGATTTTTTTTTAAAGTAATCTCTAGACCCAGTGTGGGGCTAGAACTCACAACCCTGAGATCAAGAATCACACACTCCACCTACTTAGTCAGCCAGGTGCCCCATCTTTCTCTATCTTTAACACTGTTCCTCTCCTTTTCTATCAATGTATCAAAACAAATCTGGATCCTAAAAATCTCTTTGAAATTAGTTGACTAGGGGATAAAGAATTCACACGTGGAAGGCAGGACCATAGTAGGTGTAATGATGATGCCTAAACAGCTAATAATTACCAAATGTTTATTTGTGTGAGGCCGTATTCCACATACTTAACGTGCATTGTTTCCTTTAGTCCTCACAGCTGTGAAGGGTTGGCATTACTACCCCCACTTTACATATGAGAAAGCTGAAGCTTAGGGAAATTAAATAACTTGCCTGTGGTCGTACAACTAGTAAGATTCAAGGCTGGGATTCCAACCCAGTTCTGTCAGATGCCCAAGCCCATTAGTGCTATAAATCATGTGTCTTAAAATAGCAACTCCTTCTTCTGTGACCTATTTTCAACCATAGTTTGTATCAAATTAGATTAAACTTGATTTTTATTATAATGTCTTCCATGGTAAATCTATGTATTTCCATAATACAAAAATTAGGTTCCCCACTTAAAAAATAGGAAAAGGACATGAATGGCCAAATGAAAAGAAATTAAGTCAAATATTAAATTTCAGATATTTAAAACTAAAGGGAATTTAATTCAATTCAAGAAAGAGTAACCAAGTGATACGCTGTACTAGGCACTTTAAAGTATTCAAAAATTAAGATAGTACTGCTCCTGATCCAAGAAGCTAATGATCTAGTGGGAGAAACATAGTGTAATATTTCAGTTCTTACTTCAAATGTCATCTCCTAAGAGATCTTCCCGGACCTCCCTATCTAAACTGTTGCCCCATTCCCTGTTACCTTCTATCACAGGGGCTAGCAAACTTTTTGTTTCCTGTAAAGGGCCAGAAAATAAATAATTTAGCCTTTCTGGGCTATATGGTCTCTCTCAAAACTACCCAACTCTGCTGCTATAGCTCACAGCAGCTAGAGATCACAAATAAACAAACGAGCCTCCTGTGTTCCAATAAAATGTTATTTACGACACGGGCAGTGGGCCAGATAGAGTTCACAGGCTGTAGTTCGCTGACCTGACCCTACTCTAACATATCACTCTGTTTTTTCTTTCATATCTCTTAACAAAATCTGAAATTATCCTGCTTACTGATTTATTACTATTATTTACTATTTCCCTCCACAAAAATGGCAGCTCCAAGAGTGCAAGGTCCTTGCTGCTCATTCGCAGCTGGCTCTCCAGGGTCTTAGAAAGGGGTTCCTGACACATGCACAGCTCGCTCTAAAGGTCTGTTGATTGACTGAATGAGTACTATTTCACAAAAGGAGAAACACTGATTGCCAACAAACATATAAACTATATTTGGCCAGATTATTAATGAATATGAAATAACTGAAAAGGTCATTTTTTTTCACTTAGCATGCCTGGAATGGTTAGGAAACGGGAAGGACAAAGACAAGGAAGAGAGGGAAAAGAAGAGGAAAGGGAAGAGAGAGGGGAAGTAGGTGGGGAGAGCCTGTGTAGATGAATATGTGGGGAAACCGGCCCTCCCATCTTCTGCCAATGAGAGAATGTAGATCCCAGAAGAATTGAAAGCAAACTCTTGCACACCCATGTTCATAGCAGCGTTATTTACAATAGCCAAAAGGGAGAAATGACTCAAGTGACAACCTACAAAAGAATGCATAAACAAACATGATACATCCACAGAGTGGAATATTATCAAGCCTTAAGAAGGGATGAAGTGACACATGCTACAAGGATGAGCTTTGAAAACACTGTGCTAAGTGGAATAAGCCCGCCACACAGGATCCTATGTATGACTCCACTTATGTGCAGGTACCTAGAATGGGCAAATAGTACAACAGAAGCAGAAAGTAGAATGGAGGTTACCAGGAGCTGGGAGAAGATGGAATGGGGAGTTATTATTTAATGGGCACAAAGTTTCTGTTTAGAACGGTGATAAATTCTGGAGATGGATGGTGGAGACGGTTGCACAGCATTGTGAATGGACTTAATGCCATTGAAGTGTATACGCAGAAATGGTTAAAAGTATAAATTTTATATTATGTATAATAAAAAAGTATATAAAAAAGTAATTATATTTAAAAAGTATATACACTTTTTTTACTCCAAAAATATACTCCTAAGAAATAACTCTGAGGAGATAATACAGAAGGATGAAATATGTATATGCTAGAATCCATCAACCTCAAGATTCATGAATAAAAATCTAGTGTGTAAATAGAGCCTGACAAAAAATATACAAAAGAGACTATTATGCAGGCATTAAACATGACAAAGTAGACTTCACATAAAAGTATCTCCATAACACTATTGCTAAATTAAAAAAAACAAGCTACAGAATGCATGTACAGTACAATCCCATTGATGTAAAAATTCTAAGGTTTATTTGTACATGGAAAAAATTTGAGATATTCTCCAAAATGCCTGTAGTTGATTATTCTCTGAATAGTAGATTTGAGATGATTTTAAAATTATCCTCTTCATAATTCTCTGTAGTTGATTTTTTAACAAAGAATATTTTTAACCAAAATAACATGCTATTATAAACTCCTGTTTATCACTTCTTCACATTAATTAAGGAGAGTTAGGCCCTTGATACTTTCATAATAGATGTTTTCTGTATTTCTGTTTCCATAGCAACAATAATACTTGTGAGAGGCTCAGATACATTTTCAAAAAGATACGTACCTCCGACAATGGTATTACATCTCCATCAGTCAAAAACAGATTTATTATTTCAGAGCAACATTCAATAATCATGTTCTAGAAATAAGAAGACAATAAAGTGAGGTTGAACTTACTGGTAAACTACTAGATATTTTAGTTATAAACTATTCCATTTGTCTTTTCTTGCATCACCACCTAACCCTCATTCCCAGGAGAAAATTTAGAGGGACTCGTAGGTCACAATCCCTCATATAATTAAGGTTATTTGAAAAGACACAGGATGGCCACAGAAGATAAGATTTACTTATGAATCATACATTATTTCATTGTTAAAATTCATATGTTACAGAATTCACACCAAAATGAGGTTTTGGAAAATCACTTTTCTTCTGCGATGAGAACCTGGGGATAAAGAGATTCAGACCCCAGGAAGCAGAGAAGAATGGTTGAGAACTGAAAAAGAAATGGAGAGAGTAAATGAAAAGGAACCAAAAGTCCATATCATACGTTGTCCATTGCTGATGACACTGGCATAGCCCCTACTGTGTGGACACAGCCGTGTTTATGTGTGGACCTCTGACCCCAGATGGATCTACCGCGGGAAGGAGTGAGTCAGTCAGATTCTCTATCATCGTAATTTCATATAAGGAAAGGCAAGAGAAGAGAGCTATAGTGAGTACTGACTATAGGAGCTGAAGGTCCTGATACAAACGTGGAAAAGGCAGCCATTGGGCTAGATATAAGATGAGTAAGAGAAGGAAACAGATGTGTGAGAACTTACACCCCGCCACCCCCCTCCCCGTAATTAAGCACCGTCCTGGCTCCCGACTCACCAGTTCCATTTTTCTGTGAGGCCCATTGTGTCTGGTTTCCAGTTCTTATGTATGAGCTTATCATACCCTGTCACATACTGCCTTCCCCCACACCTACTTTACTTGAACCAGTGTAAGCAGCCTTTCTTTACTTACAGCTAAAGGAGTCATGACTATAAGACTGTCAGAAACTCTGCCTACTTTGTGATGTTGCCAGGTCCAGCAACAATTCACTTTTATGGTTGTTTAATACACACGTGTACCAGCACTCAGAAATATGAAAATGATAACGTTACACTAATTTTTAAAACTTTTTAAAAAAAGAAACAAACAATAGAATTCACAGCCCCCAAACCATATTATATTTAAGTTTTTATAAATACATGAATACAGAAAAGATCACATTTTAAAGTTCCAAAGCTATTGCTAATTCAGTTCAATTTAACAAATATATTCAAGATGCTGTGGAACACAAAGATGAAGAAACAGACCCTTATCCTCACAAAGTGTACAATAGCTGAGAAGAATAGATTCGTACACTCCTAAATAAAATACCAAGTAGAATGTGGTCAGAACATGGATAGGAAACTAGAGGTGGGACAGAGGACGTGTAAGGAACAGGGAAGACTTCTTGGAGGAAGGGTCATGTGAAATGAGACTTGAATGAATAGTAGGATTTCACTGGCAGAGAATGGGGACAAGGGCATTCCAGATGGAGGGAGAACAGTGGATATTCAAGGAACATAAAGCATCTGATATGGTCATTACTGTGGGTGTGTACAGGAAGCATGGCAGTGAGAGTGATGAGAAATAAGGCTGGAGAGGTCAACTTATAACGGGACATGTAAAAGTAAGGAAATTGAGAGGCACTGGTCTGAGGAAATAATGATCCAATTGCTTTAAAAAAGATACTTCTGGCCACAGTTTTAAGGTGAACTGGGCTCAGAAAGAGACAAGAGAAAGATAAATTAGCTAGGAGGCTGCTCAAACTGTTTGGGCAGGAAGTGATCATGGCGAGAAGTGGGCCAGCTTCAGTGGGACAAAGAAGGTGGAGGGCAAGCAGGGTCTCCAGCACTGATCAGGGTATACCACTTTGCCATGATGAACCTCCCAGGCTCTTGGTCCACTTTAAGACAGAAAGGATACTCCTCTGTCTGAACACTGATACTCCTCTTATTTATCTATATTTCTATATTTCTAATTGAGTTCTCAGGACTGGTTGCACTCTGATACTCCTCTTATTTACCTATATTTCTATATTTCTAATTGAGCTCTCAGGACTGGTTTAAGTATATTTCCTCCCTATAGGAAAGATTTCAATAACAGCCATGATGCGTTACTGTCATGATTTCATCAAGAGCTATCAAGCAAAATGAGATTGTCTATATCATTAATCATTTCACATAACAGATGAAGACAGCAATGTTACCTGATAAATAAATGCCTTCTGCTCCCTGTCTCAACATTTATCAAGCAGAAATTTCACCTCAACAACATCCTATTTCTTTGGCATTATTTGCAGTAAACCATTACAAATAGCAGACGTTGGCTGACTGGATGCTTGGCTACCATAGAAATGTAGCCTTGAGCTCATCACACCAGGCAGAAAGCTGCCAGAGGTATACTATGCACGACTGGCAAGGGGCTGGGAGGGCACAGAATAATCCTTGTTCAATCTTTGCCATTTTTCCCTTAAAAAGGAGCATCTGATGATTCGATGATGGTTTTCTGAGTTACTTCAAAAATAACCATGCCGACTCTTTGACTTAGTTGAAATCCTCATCTTCTTTCACCTGTGGAAAAAACTTCCTAAATTGTTTTCCATCCTCCAAACTCTTGCTTCCCTCATCCCTCCTTCACATGCCACCAGGCCATGCCACCACATGTCTCAGCAAATCACAGGATGGGTCATGAGAAGTCCTTCCAGGTGCTGCCCCCTCCCTCTCCTACCACCCGTACCCAGCCCTGCCTTCTTCTGTCCCTTGCCTACAGAACAAAGTTCACTCACCATTTTTTCGTTCAATGCCTACTGTATGCATCCTAAGTGCCATAAATTGGTAATGAAAAGACAGAGAGTCCTTAAGCAGCTAATTGATGGTCTAGTGGGAAGAAAAGTAGAAATGGACTCTTAACAGTACCATGTGGTGACTCAGAGAGGAGGAAGCACTTCGTTCCACCTACCTCTTCAGCCCCATCTCCCACTGCATTCCCCCTGTTCTCCCACCACAACAGATAAGCCCATTGTCCCGAGTAGAACATTCAGTCCCTGACTTCACATCCCTTCTCTTGCTGTATCCTCAGTCCTCTATGAGTGCCCTCCAACTAGAAGCTTCCCAAACAAGTAATCGAGAGGCACTGTGTGTCAGGCGCTGGGCTAGATACTGGAGATAAGATGATGAATAAGACACCCAGCAAAGGAATTTGCAGTAAACAAAGAGGAAGAGACACATAACTGCCAAAGCAATACGGTAAGGGTACAGGGTGTTTGGAGGTATTTTGTCAGAGGGCCACATGTGGATGTCAGAGAGATACTAAACATGACAGTTGGAGAAAAGATTTAAGAGAAGTTTTCCTATGTATTATGAAAGGATTCCCTCTCGAATGTTCTTATGAGAGACTCCATAAAGACTTAGATTATTTTCAATGTTTTTTTTTTTTAAGATTTTATTTATTTATTTGACAGAGAGAGAGAGAGAGACAGCAAGAGAGGGAACACAAGCAGGAGGAGTCGGGGAGGGAGAAGCAGGCTTCCCGCTGAGCAGGGCGCCCGATGCGGGGCTGGATCCCAGGACCCTGGGATCAGGATCTGAGCTGAAGGCAGACGCTCAACCGACTGAGCCACCCAGGTGCCCCTATGGGTTTTGAACATCAGATTGATGTTTCTTTGAATGCCACATTTTGCTAAAAGAGGACCACCAGGTGGCTGGGCTCATTATGAATGACATCTGGGTACTTACGGCCAGACGCATACAATGATTAAGCTCCTCCATGACAAAGACCTAATAGTACTGATTTCTGTTATGTCCTTATCTCCTTCCCAAGCCTGGAAAATTTTTGCACATAATAGTTCCTCAGAAAGAATTTGTTAATTGATGCTAATGTCCAATTGTATTTTTTTCTGTTTTCATAGTACTTTGATATTTGGGATATGCTGACTATATACTAATCTCTTTTAAGATTTTATTTTGGGGAATGTGGCAGAGGGGGAGAGAGAGAGAATCTTAAGCAGGATCCATGCCCACTGCAGAGCCCAACGTGGGGCTTGATCTCACAACCCTGAGATCATGACCTGAGCCGAAATCAATTAACCAGTGGAGCCACTCAGGCACCCCGACTATATACAAATTTTAATTGCCTTGGTACAATCCAGGCATCCCATAAATGTTTGCTGAACTAACCTTAGGTGACTTGGTAAACATATTTTTAGGCTTTTCATATCAGTATGCTATCGTTCCAAACAAGGTGTTTGTCTCAAAGTCAGGATCGTTTACATCTTTCATACGCTTTAAGCTCTGAAGATACTCCTAAAGCTATGAATGACAGGTTAAAATAACTCAGTCATTCTGAGCCAGTGTTGTTCATGTTAGAAGGACATACATAGTTTTCAAGCCAGAAGTGATTAGAACACCTGTTCTGTAACCCTCTCAATACATCTTAAATTAATATCTGTGTTCTGATTTTCTTAGCTTATTCCAGACTATAGGCTTTTGGGGAGGGGGGAAGGGTAAAAAAGGGAAGGGAATAAGAAAGAGAATAAGATTCATTATCCCCCATATCAACCAAAGGCACATTTTCTGGGCCCTTCTACTTAATAACCCACCAAAAATCTATACTGTGATAGAAATAAATATAATAGATTATAGAGGTTATGAAATCCTGTCCAATTCCAGACCAGAATCGATCTCTTCAAGTGCCCTAGTTAACTTCTTATTAGCGCCAAGTGAAGGTTGTCATGACAACGAACCGGCAGATTTAGTCAATGAGATGGGTTACAACACAGAATCTAGCTGCCCTTTTTTAAGTTCCAGTTGGCATACTGGAAAAAAAGAAAACTTTATATGTTCCTTCTATTTCTCAACTTTTCAAATGTTCTGAACTACTCTGTTTGCCAATTCACCTAAACAAATATCAATTTGTCTTCCATTTGATGACATTCTCTCATACATAGAACCAACAGAACTGAAACATAGCTGAAAATGCCCTACTTAAAGCTGAAGAAACATTTTCTAAATTGAAGAATAAGACAAATTCAAAGACAGAGCAGAGAACATCAGGAATGAAAGCAGTTTGTTTTACTCAAGGACTGATCCACTCACATATACCATTCCAGTTAGGACATGAAAGCAAGCCACCAACCGTGGTTAAGGCAAGGTAGGGCCTCTGGATTCCTCCCTCTGCTTACATTCAAATGCTCCCCCATACCCCTGTTTATTTGATATTTGTTTATATTCATAGTCAACCCCTTAACTGAGACACTGGGGTCATTGTGATAAATTTGATACCCACATCAGACACACAGGGAAATTCTGATGACTCACATTCCAACCAAGCGGCACAACTCTCCATCTCAGAACACTATTTTAATGAAATGATCATTTTTAGAGATGAGAAGAAAATTAATCCCAGAAAAGGTTAAGTGACTGACCCTAGGTAGTAAAACTGAGTGGCAGAGCACAACCTAGACTCCCTGCTTTTATGGATGCTCACTCTCCTGCCTCAGACAATCTAAGCTGGAAAAACAAATGGGTTCAGGAGAAAATAACCATTTTCCATATATGAACTATATAGAAGTGGATTCAGGGACAATTTCAGCAAAGAATATTCTAGACTGTGGCTCAAAAACAGCAATCTGATATGTTTGGTCTACAACTGAAAAACTGTGATTATTAAGTGATCTACAAAAGAAGTGCAAAAATGACACCAGAGCTGAGTTCTTCTTGAAAATAGATGTAAAACAGTAACCATACACTTTATGAAAATATGTATGTTAAAGTATTATTTTATAATATATATAATCTCATGGGTTTGAGATATCTGATCTATTAGGAGATTATAAGTACTCTATATCAGTAATACCATGAAACATCTGGTAATTCATATAGCAACATACAAAGACACTGAAAAGATTTTTGGGATGTACAACCCAAAATCTAAGACATCAGTTCTATGATAAATCCAAGCACACAGCAGAGGAGATTAAGTATGGGAAAGTGGCGTTCCACAAAGGCTAACTGTTCTTGCCTGATGCATCCTCTTATAGCTGGGCTTGTTGCTTTCACAATAATGAAAAATGCATTCACTCACCCTACTGGTAAATTCAGGCTCAAAATGCAAACAAGTGTACTCTGAAAATCAGGAGAGTTGCCAACTTTTATGCTTTCACATGAGTGCACAGATGAGGAAAACAGTAAAAAAGGGCTAAAGCTACACTGAAACTAACATAACATTGTGTGTCAACTATACTTCAATAAAAAGAAAAGGTTAAAATGGTAAAAAAAAAAAATAGAAAAAAGACAAAAAAAGAGCTATACCAATACTATTCTTTAGGAATTAAAAATGTTTTACTATTGGTAATTGAATATTAACCTAGCAAAAAGTGATTCAAGGTAAAAATACAGCAGACCATATATGAAGGGAGGATCCTAAAAGCTTACAGAGAGGATAAACAGAGCCAGGCCCCAACCGGCTAGGAGTTCAACCAGAAAAGCAGCAAAGGGAGGCCCCAGAATTAGAGCTGTGTGGCAGGCACTGTTGGGTAGGCAATCCTCAGCTAAAGCAGAAGAAATAAAGGAACTGAGACATTATTTGATAAGCATGAATACTTGGGTAAAAATCTATGGGTGAAGGGGTGCCTGGGTGGCTCAGTTGGTTAAGCGACTGCCTTCAGCTCAGGTCATGATCCTGGAGTCCCGGGATCGAGTCCCACATCGGGCTCCCTGCTCAGCAGGGAGTCTGCTTCTCCCTCTGACCCTCTTCCCTCTCGTGCTCTCTATCTCTCATTCTCTCTCTCTCAAATAAATAAATAAAATCTTTAAAAAAAAAATCTATGGGTGAACATGTGAAAATTCTGATGTAATGGTCAGAAGAAAGTTAAGGAAAAAAGACAAGTCAAGAAGAATCAAAGCATATACAGGAAAGAGAAATAACCTTAGTACACTATTCGACTTGGCTGTAATAATGTAAATACTGAATATCGATTTAACCAAACTCTGTGATATAACAATACCCGGGAAAGGGGAAAGGAGAAGTTGGGGAGAAGTATAAGTGAATTAAATCCTTATATATCATAATAAAATCAACAGATATTATCTCAAATTGATACATCCAAGAAAAAGAGAATAATTATTTGTAGCTTTTAGCACTGTTGATCAATATTTCTGGCTTTTCTTCTTCCAAGCCGTAGCATGTGACTTATTTGGCCAATGAAATATAGTAGAAGTGATATGACGGAAACCTTAAGAGCCAGTGTAATTTGCCCCCTTTCTTCCCTCCTGCTACTGTGACTGGTGATATTTCATATGATGGATGTGCCACCAGCCTGGTTGCTGGCCTGAGGAGATATGGAGCAGGGCCTCAGTTGTCCCACTTGGATTTGAAGGCTATTACCTCGTTTTTCATGACTGATACTACATTATTACTCTACACCTGGAAGTAAATAATGAGAAACAGTGGAAAGAGTTGAAAACAGCTGCCTCTGCAGAGCAGGACTGCAGAGTGAGGAGAGATTGGGTCGGAGATTGTCCCTTTTCAATAAGTCTTGTAGAGCTATTTAATTTTAAAAATGGCCACAATAACTACAGAATCTATAACTCAAGAAATTGGATTAATGTGCAAATGGAAATTCAAAAAGCAAATGATTAGGGGAGAACAAATATTTCTCTGTTCCCCTCATTTCCAAAGAGGGTAAGGAATTGCCACTCCACTCCAGTAGAAGGAGACTTCAGGCTTCTTTCAGACTTGCAGCTAATTTACTGCCAGAAAAGTGGAGTGACTTATCTGATTGGTGAGTTTGGAAAAAGCAAAAGAACGTGGTAGGTTTAGTTCCTTCTGGGCAATCTTTGCTTATATTTTTGGAGGCACCCTGCCTGCAGAACTGTTGGTCTCGGCTCCTGTGTGCAGTGAGCCTGGTGGGGACGGAAGGGTAGTGGGCAGTCCTATAGTTATACATGTGGGTAGGTGGGCAAGTCTGGCTCATTTAGGGGTGAGATACTACTAAGCTCATTTGGTAACAGACCTAAAGCCATGTTCGCTAATCAGCTTTATCAGTTAATGATGCTGATATTTTGATCTCCACTATCCATCTCCTACATCCCATTCCTCAACCGGGTTCAGAACTTAGGAAGGGTAAAAGAGAAATTACCAAACACATTCTATCAATCACCACAGAAACCACTCACCTGTGTGATCAAAATAATAATACACCATTAAGATGTATAACCTTTTTTGTTGGTGTTCGAAAAATACATATGCATAGAAAAGGTCTGAAAGATATATGCTTCTCTGTACTTTCTAGTTTTTCTTCACACATTTCTTAAGTAATAAAAATGTTCAAACAATAGATTTAAGAATGAAGAGTAAAATAATAATATAAAGTCACAGAGCATTGTTTCTTGGGATTCACAGTGATATCTGGATGATTTCTCTAGATTGCCTTTGTATTCATTCATATCAGATTCTTATAATTGGTAAGCTTAGAAGAGCTTTGAAGGAAACACTACCTATGTGTCCAAAAAAGTTGGATCATATCTGGTACTCTAAAGAGAGAAAATAGAGAACAAAAGAACCACAACGTTCAAGTTTAGTTCCATAGCTATGCTTTGATGAAGTAAAAAAAATCACATAAATAATTATGTAAAATGACAGCCACGCCGCAAGAGCAATACAATTTTCCATTATTTAATAACTTACTTCCATTTCCTTATCAATTGATTTCTCTTCCATTTCTTGCATTTCAGATACATTTTCATCTGAAGTGATTTCAGGAGCTGTTGGCAATGATATTTCAGCTATTTGCTTAAGATTAGATAGTTTCTCATGAATTGAAATAACTCTAAAAATAACAGATAAATATGTATTTTACTTGAAAAGGTAAGAAAGGCATTCGTTTATTCCCAGAATCAATAATATGTGTAAAGTAAGTCCTCAGTTACTTAACACTTGGATTTCTGGCATTCCCAAACATTATTCATTCAGTCATTTGTTCATTCAAGAAACACGAGCAAAGAGACACAATTCTAACCTGTATAATGTTTATGATCTAGTTATATACTCAGATATAAAATGACTGGCAAAGGCACAATGACAGAAAGGCACACATCCAAAATATTGCTTAAGATGAAAATAAAGAAAATAAAACATCTATGTGGGCAAAGAAAGTCCAGGCAATGACAAAGTTTGCTCCTGTGTAAATCTTAACGCCATGTGATGACTACCTTGCTGACCTGAAGGTAAGAATTATGGCAAGATAGGCATGGTTCAAAAAGGCCAGTCACTGAACCCACAACAGTGAAGTGTACTGTAGGGGGGAGAGGTGAAAGGGTAGGGAGAAGAATCAAGAAAGAAGGAAAATCAAAATCAAAAGCCATGAAGGAAGGCAGAGTACACAGTGGCAATTATATTGAAGAGGGAAAGCTTCTGGAGCCCTAGGCCAGTGAACATGGGATACTATGAAGGCAGAGGTAAACCAACGGATGAGTGGAGTCAGGAGATGGAAAAGCATTTGCAGCAGCTGAAGGAGGCAAAGAGCCACCTGCATGGCCTTCCGTGATTCTATGCTACAGGCATAGCACACATGTGCATGCCTGTGTGTTTGCATCCATGTGGGTGTCACCATCCAGGGAAAGAGGGAAACTTCTATGAGAAAGAAACAAATGATCTGTGAAAGCAAACTGACATCAGGAATGTATGCAGGAATGTCATCTCCAGTGTTCCACAGGGTCCTCATCTGCAGTATGGCATGATACTCAAAATTATCATAATGATGGTTCTCAGCAAAAGAAGGTTAAAAAATATACCTTTAGTTAAATAAGAGGATCTGAAATTGTATTAAGAAATGCTTCTATTAAAAATGTAATGATTAAAATGTAAAGATCTGTTATTAAAAGTTTACTTGGAATACATCCATTAAAAAAAAAAATGGGTCATCTCCAATAGTGATAGAAAAGCTGCCTGATGCATTGGAGAAAAAATAGGACTCAAAGGACCTGGGTGAGTCATGCTTGGGTCCACCACACACCAGCATGGGACCCTGGACAAGTCACCTAACCTCTCTGGCCCTGACATTCCTCCTACTGCAAGACTGAATGATAAAACCCACGTCATCTACTTCACAGCATTTTGTAAGGACAAAATGAGGTATCTACATACATTCTTAATCATAAGAAACCCCATGAAGGAAAGATGATATTCTAAACCACTATTCTTGATTCTAATACCCAGAGAAAGAATTCGTAGAATTCTTACTTCTCTTTCAAAAATAATATAGCTTTCCTTTCTAACATGTGGAACTGCAGGAAGGATAAACTATTCTTTGATGTTTGCATTTCAGGTGGTCAATAAATGTCCAGAGCTGTATTATTTGCTTCAAAAATAAATGGCCTGGTCCAACTCTGTAAAACCAGGCTGGGACCAAGCAGAGCAGGCTGGGCACCTGTGCAAGGAGCAACATCAGAGGACCGAGCATCTCTCCTTCAGGCCCTGAGCCTCATGACCCCATTTGCCCCAACAACTTGCCCATATACATCTTCACCTCTCTGTCCACATCAGTGCTGGGTCCAGCCTTTGAACTCCCATGTTGGCCCACAAACAAATATCCATCTGGGCTAGACCAGCTCCCCGCAGCCTCTGCTTTCATTCATTGATTCATGGGCACTCACTCTCCCGGGCTGCCGGGGCCTGGAGGCAGGACCCAGCCAGAAGTAGAAATGTGTGGATGGCAGGATACTTGAAGGCAGAGACAGTAGGTAGGGAACTAGATCTTGGTTAGAAGAGCGTAATTAGATAAAACTACACAGAAACCTTTATGCATGTTTAATGAGAACATTCTCTTTTCCTTTGTTGCTGTAAGAAAAATGCAACGAATTAAAATATGTTTTCCTTGTAGTATTTAATTTGGAGATCAGGAAGTGAAATGAACAACTGAAGGAGGACTGCCCAATTTGAAGGTTGTTCAGGTTCCTTCTCGGGCCTATTTTTTTCTGACCTGTTGTACTCTTTTATTTTAAGATTTTATTTATTTATTTGAGAGAGAGAATGAGATAGAGAGAGAGAGAGAGAGAGAGAGAGCATGAGAGGGGGTAGGGTCAGAGGGAGAAGCAGACTCCCCACTGAGCAAGGAGCCTGACGCGGGACTCGATCCCGGGACTCCAGGGTCATGACCTGAGCCGAAGGCAGTCGCTTAACCAACTGAGCCACCCAGGTGCCCCAGACCTGTTGTACTCTTACTTTGCCTTCTGAAAGATGGTCAACAGGAAGCAAGTCCCCACATGCTGATCTCACCTTGACCCTCCTAAGAACACAAGGAGTGTCAGCCTCAGTGAGAGAAACAGGCAGCCTTCCCCGTGCCACCGAGGGACGGGTTAGATGAGAAACTATCAGGCACCTCCCTCTGTGTTGGTTCAGTGACTGGTGCACGTCCCTAATTTTAGTAAACCTACCACTGCTCATAAACACATCTAAATTAAGGACTTTTTGGAATAAAAAAGAATTCTGTCAGTTTGATTACATTCTACTCTGCAGAATTTATAATCATTTTCATTATGTGATTCTAAAAAATAAATCCTGCCATGTTTCTGGATACAAAGCAAGTGTATAATTTCCTAACTTTCTTGCTTAGCTGTGCTGGTATATGTCCTGTGCCTAGACTTTCTGCCATTTCACTGAAAAAGAAAAAAGAAAAGGAAAATAGACTGAATAATTGAAAATATGCCAGCTCTTGAAACATCTCTTCTTTTATTCTCTTTTATGGCGAGGCCAAGAAGTCCTTCAAAATGAAAATCATGGCGCATGAACAAGGCTCGTCAGGGAAGAACAGAGAAGCACCAAGTCTCTGTTCACTAAGCACTTACGAGGTGCCTAGCAGGGCAAAAAGCTAACACTGACAGATACAGGAGCTCGTAATGAGACTTGACATCTGCCCAGTGCTTTTGGCCTTTCAGAGTATGTGCATACATTGTCCAGTTTGATCTTAACGACAATCCCAAGAGGCAGGCAGAGTAGATATTATTTCCATTTTACAACTAAGGAAATGGAGGCTGAGATCACAAGGGCAATGAACAATGGAATCAAAACCAAATTAACTAAGCAATGAAAAAATTTAAAAAATGAACTGGGAATCTGGTAAAGTGAAATGGAAAAGAGAGAAACCAGGCATGAGCAAAAGTTAGAGATATGCCCCGTTTGATGGAGAGGAAGGAAGACAACCTGGCTGAGGCAGAGACGTTTGATGTGGTGAACAATAAAAAATAGGCTCAGACACAGGGGAAGGGGGGGATAAGACAGGTGGTGGAGTTTGCCCTTAATACTGCAACCCAATACAGAGCCGCACGTTACTTGTTAAACACACCCCAAGTTACAGGCAGAATACAGCACAGACGATATCTTTGTACTCTTTATAATCTTTATGAAGTGTCAGGAACTGTTTCTCCAACAACTCTAAGTACTATTATTGTTATACCCACTTCATTATAGGGAGACTGAGGCACACAGATGTTAAGTCACCTGCTCAAGTTTGTCAAGTTAGTAAGGGGCACCACTGGCATTTTAACCAAAGTGGGCTGGATTCAGAGTTCATGCTCTTAACCACTGCAATATCATACTCCTCTAAATAAAAGGAAGATTCTTCTAAAAAAGTCTTCTAAAAGTTCTTCTGTGATTTACCTTGTACATTACTAAAACAGCCTGTTCCAATGAAAATATCAGCAGAGTTGTGGAAAATCATTCATTACTTGCCTGTTCAGTGGAACCCAGAAAGAGCCAGTATAGACATTGCAATAAGTGCTATTAGGTACAGCATCTGAAATATTCTGGGGCTTCATGTTGTATGCATACAACAATAAAACCTATAAAAAATTAAAATACATAAAATGTGACATCAAAATTACATTTTGCCTCAAAATAATATCATTAAATTTTAAGAAGTTTTTCTTTGAAAGAGAAAACAACTTTTTTATCAATTCACTTTAAACAATTCTTTTTAAGTAGGCTTCATGCCCAACGTGGGGCTTGAACTCACAACCCTGAGATCAAGAGTCGCATGCTTTACCAACTGAGCCAGGCAGGTGCCCCTCAATTCACTTTAAAGAGGAATGATATGGGGTGCCTGGGTGGCTCAGTCGGTTAAGCCTCTGCCTTCTGCTCAGGTCATGATCCCGGGGTCCTGGGATCGCGTCTTGCCCCTGCTTCTCCCTCTGCCTCTGCCTCTCTCTCTGTCTCTCATAAATAAATAAAATAAAATCTTAAGAAAAAGAGGAATGATATGAATGAGAACTGTACGAAGTTTGAGGTGAAAATAAATGTCATTTGATAATAATATTATATTATTTTCAAAGAGTGCCATTTCTTACTGCAATTAAGTTTAAATCTCAGCCTTTGAAGGCCCTCTATAAGTTGGAAATATGTACCTAGTGAATATCCAACCTTGTTTCTAGTTACTTCTCAACATGCCCCTTTCCCATCGGTGGTCATAGCTGCTTCTGCGCCTCACTTATGCTGTTTGCTTCCTCCTTCCATTTATTCAACCTACACCCAACTTTCTGGTCCCCACCTCTACTGTAGAACTTCTCCTAATGACTCATGCTCTGGTAATTTCCCTGTTGTTTCCATTTTGGCAATCCTTAAAGTCAATTCCATAACTATAGCACCTATTTACGGTCATAGTCACAGAATTTGAGATTCATAGAACCTTAGAGAGGATCTGGTCTAAGCCCCTCATTTTAGATATAAGAAAGCTGAGGCCCAGAGCTGCCCATCAAAACTGACTAATTAAGTGCATGCATTTATCTCTGCTTCCTTGATAATCAAACTAAAATAAGAGTAAAGTATGCCTTTAAAAAGGCATAAATCTACAAAGACAGATAAGAAGAGAGGAGGTAAAGCAGACAGGAGATGTTAGCCACCCTTTGAAGGACAGAAAGTACTCAGAAGAGCACTGGGTGACTCAGAAAACAGGAAAGGCTGTGTCCTAACTGCCTTCAGAGGGGGGGGGGTTGCCAACAACAAACGTGACTGAGAGCCCTGGAAAGGCTTGGGAACTGGAGATGTCAGGTATCTTAGACAACCTCCCTCCCATCCCTTTGATGAACCCGTGCAACCAGATTTCCCCACTTCCCTTGCCTCCTCTCTGGCCAGACCTCTCCCATTTTCCTCTCTGCTGAGGCTAAATCAGAGATCTATTCTCAGGAATATTAGGTACAGGGGTGAGATGCTGAACTAAAAACACTGGAGGGGGCGCCTGGGTGGCTCAGTTGATTAAGCATCCAATTCTTGGTTTCAGCTCAGGTCATGATCTCACAGTTGTGGGATTGAGCCCCACATCAGGCTCCACACTCAGCAGGAAGTCTGCTTGAGGATTTTCTCCCTCTACCCCTCCCCCCACTCATGCACACTCTCTCAAATAAATTTTAAAGTATCTTAAATTAAAAAAAAAGAAAACATTGGAATTAAGTGAAAGTCTGTGTTCTGAACAAGAGACATCTCCTACCCCACTGCAGGCCCTGCCCAGGATGTAGGAAACCAGACAGAAGTTGAAAAGGATCCTCTTTGAGGAAACCGACCAGACAAAGAGAAAAGACCTATGGGTACTGACATTTCAGCATCCTGCAACGAAACCGTTGGCTCCTGCAGTTACCCTACAATGAGGTCTATAAATCAATAAGTCTAACCTGATACACTTTTTAGCACCTTCAAACATGAATGAATAGCCAAGGGTCACTAGACATGAAATGAAAGATAGAGGCCAAAAAAACTAATATAAGAAAGGAACCTGAAGAGTCAGGTATAAGACAGAGAGCAGAAGAGAACTTCAATGAAACCATAATTGAGATCTTCAAACAGAATAAAGACAATATTTCATCCATGAATCAAGAACACAGTGCTGTTAAAATGAATAGAGAAAAAGAGCTCTTAAAAACAAAAACATGATCACAACTAAATAATCAACAAGAGTTGAAATATAAAGTTGAATATATATCTCCCCAGAAGCAAACCTAAATTTTAAAACATAGCTAATAGGGGAGAAAAGATGAGAAAAATACTCAATCTAATAAATTTGATATCTGAATAATAATTCTAGAAGGTACAGAAATAATCAGATTTGGGAAATCATCAAAGAAAAAAATTCTTCTTGAACCAAAGGCTATACTTTCCAGATTGAAAGGGGCACAATGGATGAAAGAGCTAAACCAAGGCTCATGATGGAATTTGAGAACACAAGGGACAGAAGGAAAATCCCCAGAGCTTCCAGAGGAAAAAAATCAAAAGAAAGAACTAGGAATCAGAATAGGACCAGACTTAACGGCAATGCAGGATTGCCAGAGATAATGGAGCAATGTCTCCCATGTTTTGAGGGAAAATAATTTTCAACCTAGAATAGTATGCCTAGAGAACAATGAAGTCAGCATTAAAATGATGACTTTTTGTCAGACACTCAAGGTCTTTTTATATTCTGTGTAAGCACAGGGTCAATCTCAGTCAATCTGTTGCAACCTGTTAGCCTCTCAGGGGACTGTAGTCAAGGTATTGGCCCTTGGCCAAACCTGAATGAAATGTGCTACCTACTGACTAATGCAGTCCTGTCCTTGGTTCTGAAACACACCAGGAGGCAGCCTGTGCCATCTTGTTAGCATTTTTTTTTTGTAGAAAATATACATATTGATGATTTGCATCTGGATTCTATTGTTCTCTTCATTTCTATCACTGAATCTGGTCCCACACATGGTTTTGACTACATGAAGAGAGAGGTATGAAAGACTCCTCCTCGGATGAGACATCAGCTTTCTGGAGACCAAGATAGCATAACATATTTTGGTGGGTCATGACCTGTAGAGGAAGTGTGTCCTGTGCAACTGAGCAAGGACCCCAGCAACTGTTCCTGAGCATCTTGGATCTCTCTAATGGTTATCTGTGCTTACTTTACCTGCCATGCCTTATCCTTTACCAAACTCTTCCTCGAATTACTTTGTGGAATATATTATATGGTGTGTCCTTTGAATAATAAGAACCTCTAACACATCCTTTGTTGGGAAGCTGGAAATGTGGTCATTCAACATTAGAGAGCAAGTCAAGATAGAAACATGAGACCCAGGGAACCCATCTCAGAAAGAGATGAAGGAATTCTAAGGAGGATGGTGAATGGGCTCTTAAGAAGTTATTTGAGTCAGGAGAACAATCAGTCCCGTTTGGAGCGTGTCTCTGAAGAAGAGGAAAACAATAAAAGAATGAGAAATAAACTGATGAGTTTGACCATATGGAGAACTGTATAGTTCTTTGAAAGTTTAGGAAGAATGAGATTCTAGAATACAGAGAACACCAAGTTAAACAAAAATAAAGCAGTTTTTTTTTTCTTTAGGATAGAAGTCAGGAAGGAAGGAAATAGTACCTTATTTGGCTCAGCTGTGAGTGATATTTACATAGTTGTAAACACTGGCTATGGGTTTAAGAATTGTGATAGGACTCATTGAAGAGAATGTGTGGAAGAGAAGAATGTATGTAAGGGGGAGAAAAACAGGTTGATATTAGCCTTCATCCTCCACAGTAGTGTGTGAGGTTCATTACTCAAAGAATTATCATGTGAGCATGTAATTTAGATATATGGGGGGTGGAACCCAACCAAACAGAGACAGTAAGAGTTAAAAGTAATTGTATCTGATGGTGAAATTTAGGGATGCGGACAGCTAGACAGAGGAATGTTCTTTTTATTCATTAAAAGTCTTTTAAATTTGGTTTTTCAAACTATGATAAATTTTTGATGAAACATTTCTGAAAGGAAAATGAAATGAGTCCCAGAGAGGTTAGTCTGTTTTATGGTGTTTGCTCTTATTTTGTGTTTGTTAACCTTGACTCCCAGGCTAGCATACAAAATCCCCGTGGACAGGAGTGACATCTTGTACTTTTTTAGTAGTGCTTGCAGCACTTGCTACATGTTAATTAATATCTTCATATCTCTGAAATTTTCATTACATCTCTTAAGAGCTAATGAAGCTCCCCAAAGCGTGTTAGTGGAAAAATTTAAATAGATAACATACTTTATATTTAACCCCTTTTAATGAAAATGACTTTCTCCCTCCTCAGGCTGACACTTGTCAATGGCTTTGCAATACAATTTTAAAGTCTTTTCTAACTGAGCATGGCACAACTGAATTCAAAGTATAAAAGTCGGAAATCAAACTGGACTTGGATAAAATACAGCAGTAGATAAACAACAAAATACTAAACTCACTTGCATATTTGTTATGAGCCTGGGCTTTGGAGCCAGAGTGCCCGGGTTTGCCTCCATCACTTACTGGCTGTATGATCTGGGCAAATTATGAAAACGCTGTGCCTTCACTTCCCATTTGTAAAATGGAGATGTGGTAATCCCCATGGGGATAGTGTGAGGATTCAATGAGTCAGTGTGAAGTGCTTAGAGCATCACTGCTGTGCTTGTGAGACTCATGACCACTCCTGGCTCCTCACCCTACCTTGCTTGATACCTCACTCTCCATATTCTTTTAGACTCACTGCTAACCCCAAGCCAGCTTTCTGTCTGACCTCTCAGGTTGTCCTCATTGAATCCATGTGCTTAGTTCTATTCCCAACTTGTCCTCACTCCTCAGGGATAAGTGTCACCCTATAACACCTTGCATACTCAGGATTGGATTCTGCAGGAGACAATACACCCATGATGAAATTTCCAATGCTCTCTTATTCACTTATGCAAAGACTTGTTTTTCAATGGCAAAGAAGTGATGTGCTTTTGACAAAAGTTGAGCAATACTGGCTCAAGCAATACTGGCTAAAATTGGCTTGAATGGGGAATCCCTTACAGCCTAGCAATGGGTGAAAAAAAGAGCCCCTCCTCTAC